GAAATCTCACTCAGCAGCTCTGCAGTAATAGAGAGAGAACATTGCTCACAGACACAATTTTTCAGGCTTACCACCTTCCGAAAAAAAACCCTGTCTTGAAAGAAAGACCCTCTCCGAAACCGCCGTCCCTTGGAATCTTACTCAGCAGTTCTGCAGTAAATGAGAGGCAACATTGCCCACAGACAGAATTTCTCAACTAGAAAACCTTCTCAAAATTGAAAAATATACCATGCCCCGAAAAAAAACCCTCTCCAAAACCGCCGTCGCTTGGAATTGTTGTTTTCGTTCGCACCTAGAGATTGGGTACTGTCTTTTGATCGATTCTGTCTGAAACACGTAGCTCAATGCGGTGTAGGAAATAGAAAATATAGTTTGACCTAATAGTCGGTGTAAATGGGATGTACCGAACAGAAAACTAAAATCTAGAAAAGAATAGTGATCATCCTGTTTGAACCCCCGTGTGATGCACGCGAATGCGTGCGCAGCCAAACTGGTATTGCTATAAACGCCTGAAACAGACTATAGCAGCCTGGTTCTATTCTCTCGAAGTGTGAACAGCTCGTATTGCTTTCATAGCATTCCTAGGAATCTTCACTACACCGCAGTCTACTTCTTTGTTTGTTATCCAGTTGATTGATTCGGTCCTCCGGTCATCGCCTAACCACAAGACGTGCAAGATCCGCACGACCTTCGAAAAGCTGGCAGGTTGCAGCTGTTTGTTCGGTTTTAGATCCTTGACATTTTATGGAATAGAAGATTTCATACATTTCGTTTGCACCACGGAACTCTGGACACAACCCCCTTTTACGGATGACACGCACCAAACCCTACTTGCTTGGGCTCAATGTGCACCGTTGAGCTGCTAAGCCTGCTATGAACCATGGAATTGAAGAGGTGGGCATTGAGTCAAGAACTTTTTCTTCTGCATTGGTATGTCTCTCAACTCCAAGTTCTTTCCTACTCTGATCTGAAGCGGATCCCTCCAGAGCTCATGAAATCAATTTTTATAACTACACGAGGGTGGGACAAAAAAAGTCACTCAGCTTCACATTCAAAACGGTGCTAATTAGACATTGCCAAATTCAAACTAGATGTGCTCGAATTATAATTGAAGGGCACCTTCTAATCTAGCAGGAAACTAACATCATGTCGAGTCTCCCTCACTAACGACATCAGAAACTTCTCCCACGGAAACATGGAGCACGGTACGGTTCAATGAAGTCGTCGAAGGGCCATGGACCATTACGACTTCATCTGAAAGCTGGTTAAAAGGGGTCTTGCGAAGTCACAGCTAGTGTCTCTATAAAGCTCTCTACTAGTAATTGGTTGACGAAGTATGCAGAAGCTTCAGGCCGGGTGGAGCGATAACGATAGGCCTCCTTGAATTCGATGGTGAGACTGTCTTTATTCCGAGACGGTGTTCGGCATATTCGAACGAGGGCCTGCCTCTGCTCATGGGAGGACATCTGAGGAATATTCTATTGTAAAACATTCATCGACAAGGGCAGCCAGTGCGAAAATTGATGATGTGCGTCATAGGCAAAGTGACTTTTTTGCCCCCCCCCCCCTGTACTATAGAGACCTAACTGGACTAATCAAGCACGTGTTCTCCTTTGCATCTGAATGCGCATTTTTCTCATCGGATTAATTCGCATTCAGCAAGGGTTTGAATAGAGTTGTCTACGTGCAAAGCTGCGTGCTTAAGACCGTGTACAGCACAGGGATCTGTTTCAATTTCACTAATCATGAACGTCCACTCATTGCTGTATTTCACGCGTTGATCACGGTGCTTTTCCAGGAAACATCTGACGCTTTTCCTGCACTCTTGCCATCCTTCTGAGCCTTTATATTGCACATAATGTTAAAATTACCTGACGTCAAGCCTGAATCATTTGTTTCCTGGCCCTTTTGGAATACCACAAACGTTCCATTGAGGAATCCAGTTGGTGGACGCTTGGTTGGACCATTAGGAATTTCCTACACTTAATCTCTCTGATTATTTGATTGATTCGGCAGCGCCCTGTTGACGGAGTTTTGAATCTGGAATTACTCTCTGTATTTGAACTAGGGTACATCGGTGCGTTGTCCTCTCCACAGCACGCTGAATAACGATGACCACATGATTATCAGCGTAGAGTTCAGGCCTGTGAGCAGGGCGGTCCTATCGTTGGTACTCTTTGCAAAATTTTTACGACCCCCTCCCCCCCCCTCACGAGGTTTCACACGACCCCCTCCTCACAGCCACTTTTTCCCTCAAAAAAAAAACACCGTCGAGCGATGGAGGATGTACAACTACCCCATTTTCTAGGGCATATACATGAAACGGCAAATTTTCTCCCGCGCGCTCTCACCTCATCACATGTAATTTCGCGCTACCGAAACAAGTACGACCCCCCACCACAAACTTCAACAAACTACGACCCCCCGTTGCTACTTGTAGCAACGTAGGGTTGACCCTGCCTGTGAGGCACAAGTTGAAGGCGCTGGTTGCGATCGAGCTGAGGTGTTATCTCGTACGAAAATTGGACCAGAAGTGCGAAAAGGGGGACAGTGGGAAATGACAAAAATTCCATAGAAAACACTGCAATTTTTCGCGTGAGGTTCACCGTGGTACGGCGGGAGACAGGGTCGCCTGAAAAATCTACGTAATCAAATTTCCCCACATGCGCGTTCCCGAGGACCATACTGAAGATTAATCGAAAAATAACTCCACTTTAAGTGCAAGCGACTTCCGCTAGTCCTGTAAGGACATTTACGCCTCTGCATCGACCATCCAACAAAGTTCTTTTTTTCTGCTTTTAGAATAGCACTAGGCTTTTAATCGAACTGCTCAGACATTTATGATACCTCCTGCTTCTCTCAGCCTTATTACTTTTTGATTTCATGTTCCTATTGCCTTTTTGATTTCATGTTCCTATTGAAAATGATGTCATCGTTGATTATTCATGAATTCTTGTTCGCCTTTCGACCTTTGAATGTTCCATATAATTACCGCAGATTGCCCTTCGATAGGAACCATTGCAGAGCTCTTGCAGAAGTCGCACGTGGCGATGAACTGGTCTTGCCTGGTGGCACTGCTGCTGTCGACTAGCTCCGCTTTCACAATGAGGCTCGGCCGGAAACACCACATTAAATGTCAGTGCTTTCTTCATTCTTCAAAAGAGTAGACCTTCATGGATCATTGCACAGTTACTTGTAAGCACACTTACAACACACTATGCGACCAAGACTTCTTCTTGGGACCTCTACTTGTGTCGTAATGATAAAGTTCATGAGGACCATATTACACGTCTCCTATCCTAATGATGAAATCTTTCCAAAAAGAATTTTTTCTTATCGCCTTCTGGACTGTTCTCTTACAGATACAGTAAATTCAGATTTGGCCAGAAGCCGTTCTGAAAGTATTTTGAAATGATCTGCGAAAAGTATTGGAATGTAGACTCCATTTAAAAGTAACACTTCTCGAGTTTCTGTGAATGTTTCTTTTGAAAGCTGGTCAGGTTAGGTTTTCTTGCGTTTTGCCATTCGATAGGTTTTTGTCCGATCATGTGGTCAAATCTCTTTCCATGTGAATTGAGTCCACAAGGAACGGATGGAGGGTAAAAGGGGGCCATTTGGAGTGCGTGGTGCATCATGCATGCGTAGTGCGATGGGTTTTCAAATGATGATTATCAATCAATCTTCTCTATTTAAACGAGCAAACATGCGGACTGTACAATCTTCGTCAGAAGATCGAGCAAGTCTCACGCGTTTTCCTTTCATTTTTTTCAGAATTACCATCGAAAAGCAGTTTATCATCAGTTCAGAGTAGCTCAGCCGTGGTTTACTCCATGATGAGCTTCACATTGACTTCTTGACTCATTGCCACAAGCATTAATGTTTACAGCAAGAAATTTTTACCACTTAAGCGCTCGCAGCTTGCAAACTAAATGTTTTCGTGCCAACAGACTGTGGTACGTATTTGATGTGGTACGTACCTATGTGAAGTGTTAATGCCTAACACGTTGACGGCAGCATGGCGCGCATGCGCGTCGGAAGCTCAGACGATTCTGGCTAGTTTTTCCTGCTTATTTGGCATTTGTCATGTCTCAAAACTGTGTGTATGCATCACAGCATCTCCATTTTTGGTCCGATACTAAAAATCGATCTGTTAGCGATTTCAGGTCCAAGACAATCTAGAGGCCTGTAGGAGGAGAGGAGTGTGCCTTGAAGTTTCAATTGAATATTTTATGACAGGAGCTCAGTTCTGAAATAGATTCCTCTCGTTAGTCGCTAAAAATCAATTTCAGCTGATCCTACAAATATACTCGACAGCATCATGGTCCGGTACGATAAACGAGTCAGGCCAAACGCCGACACCCAACATCCAGTCATCATCCACATGACCATCGTGCTCGGCATTTTAACTGAAGTGGTAAGGGAAGTCTTTTCAATTACACATGGTCCACCTGACGGTGAAAGCGCTACCAATCCAATACAGCAACGGGGCAGAAACATTGTATAATCACATACGAATTCCGAGCAAGAACAAGGAAGCACTTTGTTAACACACAGACGACAGCGTGACACGAATGTGCATCACAGACCAACACGTTCGCTTTGTTCAATTGCTTGGCATTTTTATGCTCCAAAAGTGTCCATATAGGTTTCAGACCTAAAATACATCAGACGTCAGTACCGAAATTATGGAAAGGGTATGACTAAGCTGAAAATTATTTGGATATGGTGCAAAAAAAACAACGCCTGCCATCAGTGTGCACAGCCACGACCGAAATCTCGAAGCTTTTGGAACACAATATCACATTTTTAAGGAGAATAGTATTCTTCTTGAATAAATTCGCATTTATTCAGTGTTTCTGATGGACGTAATAGTAAATCAATGCCTTCAGACGATTTTCGAAAACTAGTGAATAGTAAAAGGGTCGTTGACGTTGAGGAAAAACCTCTCTCAAGAGCACGGAGCATTCATACGTTTGAAAATTGCTAAATTTCCCCCAGCAATGAGGGAGATTGTTGATGAGCGTTGTCATTCGCAACCATCAAGGCACGTTACCAGACTATCAGTGAATAAATTTAGCTCGGAAAGATTGTTCAACTCGATTTTCTGCAGTGTGCGACTTTTCATTTGATTGGCAGATTGTAGAGGCTCACTGTCGTGTGAACACAACATTTCTTACCTAACGAGTTCCCAAATGTTTTTGGATGGCCTTTAGCCAACAGAGTTCGAGGGAGACCTACCAAGGATGTTCGCACAATCGCGATAAGTATTTAAATACTCCCCATTGGTGCCTATAATATTATAATAGTGGGTACAATTCCCATAGCCATCTCCTCCGCTCCCTGAGATTTCCGCTACAAAATAAGAAATAAATTTATGACATAAATAAAGTAGATCCAGCTCGGCGAGTAATCAAGATATTGTCTTGACCGCGCTCTATCGACCACTTCCACTCATGTCCAATGCGGTGGGAAGCTTTCCCAACCCAGGGATAATTCCATTCAATTTTGATCCTTGAACCCTACCTGCGGTAAGCGACGCGGCCTGTCACTAAAGCTGAGGCTATGAATTAAGCTAACTGAGCTTGAATAAGTAAATCTTTATTCCAAAGTACCTTAACTTAACCTACTTGGATGATTGGACGACCCGTTCGTCGGCATGGCGCTTGGCCTTTCGCTGGTCTCAACTTCTCTTCCATTGGAATCGCTCATGAGCCTTAAAGGAATCTTCCACGGAAAAAGCTCCGCCTCCATTACCACAGAAAAACGATACCCCTTAGGCCCCTAGCCTCATGAGCATAGCAAAAAGAACGGAACATAAGCGTTAGTTTCGATAATACTAATCCTACACACAAGACAAAATGATCACTCTTTCCGTGGAAGATTCCTTTAAAGGCAAATCCGGAATTAAACTGGTGCTAAGAGCGCTTCGCAGTGATAGCTTAGCTGACCCCAAAGTGGAGAGGGAAGCGAGAGAACTCTTTGGGAACGCTGAACTTAAGGCCTTAACCTTCAAAAAGGTCGGATGTGGTACGAGACAGGGCGATCAAAGAAGTCAAAACACGCGAGAGAGAACGTCGTTTGAGAGAGCACGCTGATCTCACCACATCTCGCGGTGGGTGGGAAGCGTTCGATGGTTGGAGGCCCGTAAGGATTAGCGCCCTAACCGCGCAATTTTTGCGACGAAGCTGGAGTGATCTAGGTAGGTACGGACCTTACAATTTCCCTCGCGGTATCCTTCCTACTAGTCGGGCTAATCCCGGGGTTTGCCTTTAAGGTATCGTTTTCTGGGGTAATGGGGGCGGAGCTTTTTCCGTGGAAGATTCCTTTGATTGTCCAGTGAAGGATCACCTTGAGAGGCACAGGATCATATACGTTGTCACGATATGCCAGAGAGTTTGTCCAGCGTGTAGGAGGACGGCCAGGCGGTCGCGAGTATCACCACACAGTAGCGGTAATCATAAGTTTAGCAAACAATAATTTCGTTGGGAAACAACTCGTTCAGAAATGACCTTCGGCTTAACAGTCATGAATTCTACAGTATTCATGATGTGTGCACATGCTTTCTGACCTAGCATGAAAGAGTTGGAATACTGCAATGGCTGAAATGAGCAGAACAACATCTAAGTCATGATTGGGCAATAGCCGCTCCTTCTACGCACCTCCCACCGGATGATTTGTTCTTTTCGGATTCATAAATGAACCTTGTCATAATTATTGTTGATTCCAGAGAGAAAATCAACAAGTCGCCAGTTTCGTGATCTCTCATGTGCAGGTGAGTAGAACAAAGAAATATGAAGACCAAGTGGAAAAAGTTGTGCAAGAAGGCAACATTACTGCGAATTACAGCGCTGGCACGACCCTAAACTGCAGTGGGAACCGGAGAAGTTCAATGGTCTGAAGCAGGTGGTAATGCCGCAAAATCTCGTCTGGGTGCCAAAGTTGTTCATCTACAACAGGTACACCACTATCAAAAATTTGCATAATGTTTGTCCCTCACCTCAGCTGTTCTTATGGCCCTGCTCAAAGCCTATTAATCCAATTCGAGATCGCAACCTAGTCCCTTATGTCAAAAGTGTAGATAAGCGCACGCAATTCTATTCAGCCACTCCACGATTTGCCACGCATTTGAGTCTGAATTTGAAAATATTATTCCAACACAACAAATCAGATAGACGCGCTCGCCGTCTACAAGCAGTTATTGAGATCCTGGATCTCTTGCATGAGCGTGTTGATCCGAAAAGTTAAACTTTTCTTTCATCTCGGCCTATTGACCGTCTGTCCTGCTGTGAATACTACACTATTTGGCGCCGCAAAAAGTATTGTCCATTAGGCCGAAACTGGCACAACCAGGCACTTAAACAGACTTGATAAAGCGGATAAGGAGTAAAGGCTAATGCATTCGCGACTTCGCAGTGGCTTTTTTTGAATGCGATGTGGCTATACAATGATTTGCGGGGGCCAGCCGATGTACAAGTCAGTGTTTTTTATCCTCCCAGACAAGTCTGGTACCAATCAACCGACCCCGGAGGGATGGAAATGCTGCGATCCCGGCGCTCGCGTCACCTAACGGCGGCTCTCTGCCACGCATCACTTCTGCCCAATGAAAGCAGACTGTCGACTAAACTGGTGGTCCTCCAGAGAAGACAGTGAAAGAGCTGGTTAAAATGCTCGGAGCATTTTACGAAAAATCAAACATACTCCGAAACAATGCTAAATGGGCGCCTCCTGCCCAGGTATGTTTTTGGGGCATGGGATAAAGACGAGAACCGGAGGTAAAGAGTGCATAGCATATGAGCTAAGGACGTAGAGGAGACGTGCTTGCAAACGGTTGGCGTGCACTGACGCATTTGAGCTCTCGCCAATCTGTAAGCGCTTTAACCCTTTCGGCCCTGGCGGTGGCAATTGCCACCACCAAATTCAAACGCTTGCATTTCCGCTGAAACAGCATGGTTTTTCTAATCCTGCTAGAGTTTGCTTCAGTCAACCTTCCCCTTCCTAATTATGAGCTTAACCGGCCATTTCATTGTTTATTGCTGTTAGTATTGCAAGTATTTGTGTACAAGTGCAACAGTGAATGGGCGCTGACCCCCGCAACCGGCCAAGTAAGTGTGACTTTTTCTTAAAATACTTGAAGTGGATCCATTCCTAAATCAAAATTATGGGTTATAATGTTATGCAAGATTATAAACTTTTTCGGCATAACTATGAAATTTCGAATTGTTTCGACATAAGCTTAAAAACTAAGAAGGTGGGCCAATTTTCAAAGCTTCTTAGTTTCTTTGTTTGTGATCGAATAGCTTCCAAATTTCGCCATAATGATACCTATATGCTCACAAGTAATAAACAATAGCTAGAAGAAAAATTTCTCCACGGGGAAAAATTCAGGTCCGAAAGGGTTAAACAAAGGCGCTACCAAATAATTCAGGATCCCCTCCTCACTAGGAGAGCTTATTCTCAATTATTGTTTGTGGAACACACCTTTACGCGAGCTTATCCATGCGCACCACATGCGAGCGATTTGAGGACTATCTAGTCACTGTGCCGCCTTCGAATAAAATGGAGACGGTCATATGGCGCGACCGTATTGAACGCAATTCAATACCACATCATACTGAGGCTCGACAACTCGTCCACACCACTCAAGTACTAGACTTCAGCAATTGATCGATCTGAAAGGTTGGGTCTCGCGAATCTCGTTGAACCTAAAATATCTAGAGAGAGCGCGGATAGGTTATGTCGGCCCGATGCTTGGGCAGCAGGACCAGGAATATGCGTGGGCGAGTTGCCCGGTCACGGTAGGATGTGGCAGTTACGACATGTATGCTCCAATGCCAATGGGATCGCGCCATATAGGACGCACATCCCAAATAAAAAATATTATAATAAAAGGCGCGCTGTTCGTGACGCAAACCCTTTATTTTCAGTATGGACACGAAAAATATGCTTACCGAAGATCGCTATGACGTTCGAGTCCAACACACTGGTCATGTGAAAATTAACATTCCGCAATTTGTTACCACTTTGTGTCGGATCGACATCGATTTGTTCCCGTTCGATACACAGGTGAAGGAGTACCTCTTCCTCACGGGTTGATCATATGAGGGATTATTTTACAGTTTTGTGCAATCGCTTTAGCCTCTCCGTTACTATCGGTAGAGGAGATGGACGTGAACGCTACACAACCCCCAAAAGACTCGTATTTTTCGGTGAGACATCTGGTTCAGGGAGTTTATTTTGGCGTCAATAAAGGTATCGAGTGTTTTATAGGGAAATGCCGAATGGGAGGTGATGAACGTGACGGTACGGCAAATGAAGTTTATGGAGGATGGTGAATATCGGGCCGAGGTAGGGTATTCTTCTAGTAAAGCAGCTAAGAACATTAAGGTGATTAACGAGATTCTATTCAGGTTCATTACATTCTTCATCTGAATCGTCGTCCAATCTACTACATAACCGTTATCGTTGTGCCGACATTTCTCATCTCAGCACTCTCGATTTTGGGAATTTTCTCACCTGGATCGAATGACGGCCCGAGGAACGAGAAGGTGAACGACTGAGAGTGAACTCTCCTCTTGCGATTGCAAGTTTTTGAGGGCATGCGTGATTGAGGCCAAGGTTCAACGTTGGAGAAAACTTGAAAAAAAACTCAGAAACTGCTCACTTAAAATTCATAACGGCACCTTTCTTTTCCAGTCTCACCCGCAACCCTTGAAAAAAGTGGTTTTTGTTGAGCTTGGCACAACGC